CCAAGGAAGTCTGGGATCATGCAAGGAAACTATATTCTGGACAAGATAACACTACTAGGGTTTACCAACTGTACCAAGAGTACTTCAATCTACAACAAGGGAATCARAGTCTTGAGGRCTATTATGCCAGTATGAGAAATTTACGAAATGAGTTGAATGYTTATCATCCTCTTACACCTGATGTCAAAATTCAGCAACAACAAAGAGAGCAGTTGGATGTGACCAGATTTTTAGTAGGGCTGAAATCTGAGTATGAACCCGTAAGGGCACAAATATTAGGTGGATCTGCTCTTCCCTCTCTTGAGGAAGTGTTTGCTCATCTTCGGAGGATTTCAGTTGGACCCATAGAGACTTCCACTATGTCAGATAGGTCTACATTTGCAGTTACGAGAGGGGGAGGTCGTGGTGGTAGAGGAGGTCAGCACGGTTGTGGTAGTGGTGGTGGACCCATGTATGGTCATGGTGGTGGTGGAATGTATAATCGTGGTGGTGGTTGTGTTGGAGGACGAGACCCAGGGGGAGCCCGTGGTAGGGGACGTGGTAATACTCAAAGAAGGTGTACTCATTGTGGTATGGAAGGACATACTATCAACTTTTGCTACAATCTCCATGGCCCACCTTCAACTTGGGCGAATCGTGCAATTGTAAATGGTGGTAGCTCAAGGCAAAAATCTCAAGTCACTGATCAGATCCCCACTACATCAACAGATACTTCCAAAAAGGAGATGATGAGTGTTTCACGGGATGAGTATGAGCGGTTCATTCAGGGTACATCTCAACAGAACACAGCTACCCTTGCACACACAGGTACGGCTTGTCTGGTATCCACATCTTCCCATTGGATTATAGATTCTGGAGCTTCCGATCATATGACTGGAACTCCAGGTGTGTTTTCATCCATTTCTCCGTCCTCTACTTCCCAATCTGTTACTCTTGCCAATGGCTCTACATCAGCCATATGTGGTGTTGGTAATGTTGACACTGACTCATTATCCCTCTCCTCAGTTTTATATGTTCCCAAGTTTCCCTTTAACCTGATGTCTATTAGTAAATTGACTCAGTCTCTTAATTGCTCAAGATCTCAAGACGGGGATGAAGATTGGTGGAGGCATGAAGCTGGTGGACTGTATTATCTTGATGGAGGTGGTTCGGCAACAGCTCTTTAGTCATCTCTCTCCCCTCATCAGTGGCACTGCAGACTTGGTCATCCGTCTCTTAGAGCTCTTCAGTTACTTGTTCCATCGTTGCGTCGTCTTTCTAATTTAAATTGTGAGTCGTGTCAGTTTGGGAAACATTACAGTGTCTCCTTTAGTCCTAGAGTTGATAGTCGTACATCGAGTCCTTTTTCTTTAGTCCATTCGGACATCTGGGGTCCAAACAGAGTAGTGTCTTATAATGGTTACAAGTACTTTGTAATTTTTTATGATGATTATTCAAGGATGACATGACTTTACCTTATGAAAGAAAAGAGTGAATTGTTTTCTATCTTCCAGAAATTTTATGCTGAAATTCGCAATCAATTTGGTGTAAATATTAAAATTCTTCGTTCTRATAATGGYCGYGAGTATTTTTCCACACACTTTCAAGAATATTTGGAACAACATGGCATTATCCATCAAACCTCATGTACCTACACCCCTCAACAAAATGGGGTGGCTGAAAGAAAAAACCGTCACCTTTTGGAAACTACTCGGTCCCTCTTACATCAAATGAATGTCCCCAAACCCTTTTGGAGTGATGCTGTACTCACATCTTGTTTTCTTATTAACCGCATGTCCATGTCTATCCTTGAAGGTCAGTCCCCTTTCTATGTTCTGTTTCCCACGTTGTCTCCTTTTCCCCTTACTCCCAGAGTTTTTGGATGCGTGTG